AAAATGTTATTATTTATCTTTATTACTTTTTTTTAATTACCTTCGAAGAGCATCAAATTGCCATGGACAACAGTTCATCAACTTAACCAATTTGTATTTCGTTTAATGTTTAAATTATCAATTCGAGGGACAACGCAAACCTGTTTTTCTGAAAACATCCATGATATCTTGTGTGAAAGTATTGATAGAGGAGTTAATTGACAAAAGTTATACTGCAGTAAATAGAACTGCTTTCTATTCGTTTGACCGCTAAATTGTAGTGTTAACGTATCTGCCTACATTCATTTAGTAGTAAAATCTAGTACTAGATTTTAGCCAGAAGTTATCCGTACCGTGTAACGCCCCTTTAACGTCAACATTCTGAAACCGAACATTGATTTTTTCTAGAAGTAAATTTTAACGCCTCGGTTAACTAAAGCACGTTGCCTAATTAAACATGTTCGTTCAAAAACGAGGTAAGATACGGTTGTATAATACCATTTTAACTTCAAAAAGCAAGTTAAGCTTTTTTCTTATTTTTTTGCATTGTTCAACCATTTTTTTACGATACCAATGTGCCTTTAGGATCGATTCCTTCTCTTCGTTATTCAAAAATATTTGTGCCCTTCAATTATTAATTATTTTTAGGAAGATTGAGGGAGAGTTACATCTGTGTCGGTAGTAGTTAACCTGCGCGTAACTCGTGACCTAGTAAAAACTATTCATAACCTATGGCTATATTTTTTATATATACTTTATACTTTATATTTACATTAGATCTATATTACCTACCCTAAAGGTATTATGTAGGGGGGGTTCCGGAGTTTTGCTGTTAAATATCGTCCGGTTCATCATCCAGATCTAGGAAAACCTTTTGGCATTGTCAGTAAAAGTAAGCATGTTTTTATAATAAATTAAAAAAAAATTAATATAAATTTCGTCGTTTGTAACCCTAAATTGGAATCGCGTACGTCTCTGGCGCACTTCGTTATCCGATGACTGCCGAATGGCAAGAGAAGTAATCTTGTAGTCAAATTACTTTTGTGTGTACCGAATGCTCGGGTACACGATAAATAATTTGTTGCTAAACAGTTGTATATAGTATGTCCTTACATATTTTTATACATAGGACCTACCGATTACGTCGCGGCGGCGTGGCAATATCAGTACCGGATACAGACACATATTTCTTCAAACCCGCTGCAGAAAAACATGTGGTCGCAACAATGTTGCCAGCGCGGTCGGTTTATGACTAAATATAGGCGTTCGGCACGATACATACATTTATATAAATAATCGCGTAATGGCCGTGTTAATTACATATAAGGTAGTTTTATTGTAAATGGCCACGTTCGGAGTCTAAGGTGCAAATTACCGATTCCATTCGAAACGGCAAAGCACACAGGGCGCGAAAGAGGTAAAACGTTATATGAAATATTCTCTAGACTCTAGACCAATTCAGAAAAACAAACGCAGTAACCGGCAAGTCCTAGTTCCGAGAAAAACGTTGTATATTCCCTAGTAAATGGTGGAACCGTATTCGTCAGCGTAACTAATTTTCTGGTTCTAGATGGCGGAACTTTGAATGAGGACAGGTAGATTTAAATGATTGTTACTTTATCTCGCTTTATTTCCAATTTAATAAAAAATATAAAACGCATCAAACAACAAAATAATATCAAACAGGAACTACAAACTTATATTATTTACAACCTTTTTATCAAGAAAAGATATAGAAAAGATTCCTACGTCACTGACTCATAAGCCAAGGACGGCGCTTTGCACCACTAGCTGAGAATCCAACATCCACAGAAGTTATAGTTAATTAAAACTGGTTGTCCCTATTCCTATATCAATCGAATTTAAAAATTAACAAATTACACGTTTGTCATCTCCACAATTATCATTTATTTTTCCAGGGCAAGAAACCCTTTAATGTAAAAGCACTTTGTGCCCCTTGCTTGTTCGATAAATGTACATAAATCATCCCCGGTAATCCGCATATCAGTACCAGACGTGCCACTTGTTAGAAAATCCAACATGTGTTCGAAATAGGGCTCGACTTTTTTTCCCGTCAGCCCGTCTACTTTAAGTATGTGTGAAAACCGATTCAAATCGATACACGCCCGACAAGGTCTTAATGAATTTTCATAACTGGTTACATAAAAACTCCCATACAATTATCAACGGTTGTCGTTTATGAAAAACTATCGTTATTTATCTTGGATGCTAAAGGTCGCGAGTGGTTTATTATAAATTTATGCATATATTCTTGTTTCGCGTTTTGCAGTTTTCGACAGTTGAACTGGATTTGTTTAAGAAACTTGGTAAACTTGGCGAAGAGCAGATACCAAATATACTTTTGGTTGCAATTAACACAAATGTGTCAATACTTTAATCAAATCACCCCCCAACTAAAGTTACTTAATAGAAAATTGATACTCTAAATAAATTTTTAAATGAGTGCATGAGTGGAGTTTTCAGTAATAAAATTTCACTAAACCTGCACTATGCAAAAGAACCACCACTACTACTAGAAAATGATTTAGATTTATTAGGGACTAGTTCCTAATATTCACGTATTCTACATAATAATAACTTATATACCTACACTGATAAAAAAAGTAAAATTACAAACATATCATTGGCTACCTGTATGTCACACAAGCATGTGCCTGAAATCCTACATTCAGCATGTAATTACATATTTATATATTAAATATATTTTATTGCATAAAATGTCACAAAGTAATGTAAACTTTGTGTAATGTATATTTACAATGTTTTAGTGAACGATTGAGGGTTTCTTTCCAATTTTTTCCAAGAATTTCTGATTTAATGCCGTGTTAATGTGCTGAAAATAAAACGCAATTGAAACAGCATAACTTAATTATAAAGAAAATTATACGATTTTTTAAAAACATAAAAAACATTTCATCAAAATATTTACCTAAAAGGCTTTTTTTTAAAAATGGAGTTAAAACAAATAAATAAAGTTGTCTACTCAAGAGGTTTGTCTATAAGAAAAGAGTCTAATTCATGTATACTATAACTAACTATAACCTTAAAACTACGCAAGCAGAAAAAATTATTGTGGTTCTGCTTGGTGATCAGTTCGTTAATTTGATGACCCTTATTTTTATCAGTGTAGGTGTAATGCAATATAGTTGAAGCATTTTAAATTTTAATTAAATCGATGCTATTCTTCACCACTTTATCCAGATCCCACATTTCTCTCCTGGTTTCACTTCCACAACAGCTTGATCATAGAGGAGCGCAACTTTAATTTCAAATATTGGGTTTTATCAATCTACAGTAATCCATACCATTGAATGGAAATAGAAAATTATGTTCCTTCGTTCCATTCACCACAGCTATACTTGTAAAAAACGTCTTTTTTAATTATAATTATTGTCTGGAAACTAGTTCACATACTAAACGTTTATGTTCGCGTTAATATATACCCTCTCAAAAAAACGTACGCCCAAAATCCGCAGTAATGCCTGAACGATGCCAAAGACAAACCGAAATTGTGTGCGTTCCTTTTTGAGTGTGCTCTCAAATATGTGAAACTCTTCTGCACACACATTAAAGTTTTTGTATGTAGGCGCCTCATTATGTGAACTAGTTTCCAAGATGAAATTACGTTCGTATTTAGAATGTAATTTTAATTTAACTATGCTTATATATGGAAAACCCCTAAACAAGGCGAGGTAAGTTTGTATAGATCGTTGTTTAGAAAGAAAATTGTGCAAGATGCCTTTAGAGTATCATACCCGACCGACGCGCATCAATTTTTACCGTTTTTACCGCCACTATGTTATCAACACCTGTATGGGATAGAACCATTGAATCTTATAAAATGATATAAGGATACGTCTATGGATAGAAGACGCTTTCAAAATATTTTGTTTACAAAGTACTCAAAACTTTAATAAAAAGGTAGCACAAAACTTTTTCCTCGAATAGGCCAGACTTCAGAAAGAAAACATCAACCTTTGTAAAAAGGACAAATAGGTAAACAAACGAGTTAAGTTAATAACACTCACCTACATTCCGATTAAGGGGTTCTGAATGCCGCAAATGGAAATGTAGATTCGGTCTGCAATTTATTAAGCTGATTTTATTTACTTACAAATTGCACATCATTTACTTACAAATTTATGTTGTATCAACTTTGGGGAACATTTATTAATCTTTAATAATGTCTATGGCAAACTGTTTAACATTAACGGACACCACAGTAACGAACATTAAATGAGAAATTCTAGTCAAAGACATTTGGCGTACATTCGTCTTGTCATATTTTAGATCACGGTAGGCCGCTCTTCTAATGACACTCGCCCATTACCTGAATTGACTTTCTGACGTTTCATCTATCAAATAATAACAAAAATAGTCAAATTTTAGTTTGCCGCAAAATATCTAAGCCGTATCTTTTGCGATCTAGCTCCGTAATTTTATCCATTCCAGCGATCAAGTCATTGAAAGTTACAGGTTTCTTAAACTAACCCGTAAATCCACATAATGCGCGGGATCCTTGCGCAGGAGTCTTGATGTTTAGAGTTAGTTATGTTTTTATATTTAATTCATTGTAAATTCTCTCCATAAGTTTAGTAAAAGTTTTTTTTACATTTTTTATTAAATGCAGAAAGCATGAAAATTGTTCATCCTTTTTGTCTCAATAGCAATAGAAAAATAAGCTTCTCCATAATTGTTAACCACCATCAAAATTATATACTGAGACTCTTAAATGTATACATTTAAGGCGTAGCCAGAAAGTCTTTAAAGGCAATGTTCTTTTTCTTAATGTCATATCAACTATTTTTCACTAATATGTATATTTTTACTTTTTTACTTTTTTATTTGAATTTGAAAATTCAAACTTTTAAATGTTTTTTTTGCAGTCTTACAGTTTTGTTTCCTTGATTAGGAATTTTATAGAAGATTTAAAATACTTAAGAAAGACAAATTTCGTTTAAATTTTTTTTTCATTCAGAAAAAATATCTTGGATGGATAATGGATTTTGGATACAATCAGCTAAATAACGACTCCATTAATTAGACCTGCAAAGTTTATATAAGATCAGAAAATTTAATTCTCAAATGATGAATTTGGTGGATAAATGCTTATAGCATTTAATATAGGTAACCTTTATTGCAAAATTTGGGATTTTTGGGAGTAGGTACTACAGTGATCGAAGATCGAAATGAATCGAGTTAATTGCTCGCGATTGGAATTAATTTAGTTCGATCGGATTATGAAAGTTGGGGCCACCATATAAAGTTCGTGCTAAAGAAGACTTTAGAAAGTGTTCCTACGCGTTGGAATTTATGGACGATAACCAGTGGTCAAATTAATCGTAAAACCGTAAGTGCTAGCTAATCGTCGGCAGCGGATTTGCTATATCGCCGTAGTATCATTGAATGTTCATGCGTTAGAGGTAAGTTTAGCAATTCAAACTGTTGATAGGTTTAAAACGAATTAAATCGCCTCTGGCTGCCATTCTAAAAGTATACAGTGTAAGCGATCACCATATTAGGTATATGTAATTCCTTTGCTAAACAGGATCTTCCACCGGAATCCTCGTTGGTCTATTAGGGCAGAACTACTATTGTTATAACTACAAAAACACACCCAGGGTTTATCTTTTTGAACCACTTCCAGTAATACCGGAATTGATTGTCAATTTGCTTATTGGAAATAAAAAATGGGAAAATATCGGAATTATATTTAGGTACTATTGAACTTCCTCGGAAAAAGAAACGTAGGTATATACGAGGGCCACTTGAAAACTTTTCCGACTTCACTTTGAAAATGGCGGCACTAGTTACTAAAAGCTAGTGATCTTGTTGTGCTCCCCTTGATAGTTACTTATCAAAGTTTCAGCCATTTTGGAGCTGTGGTTTTTAGTTGAGAACCGTTTAAATGAGTCGATGGGAGCTGTTATAAAATATTTGTTTTTGAAAGGCAATCCGCCTACGCAAATTAAAGTTGAGTTGAACTCTGTGTATGGGAACTCTGCCCATCGTTTACCACAGTGAAATTTTGAGCTGAATTTAAACGTGACCGGAGATGAACATTCGTGTTTTCCAAAAACTGTAACTACTGACGATAATATTGCTAAACTGTGGTGTTAAATGAATTAAAAAAAGAGAGAGGTTATGAAAATGTTCGAAGAACGTGTTTGTCACATTTTAAATCAAAAACGTGTTCGAATGAATGTTTCCTACGCTTTAGGCGCAATAAATCCGAGTTTTAGCGCCAATTAATTAGTGTAGATGAAATTTGGATATACCATTGTACGCCCGAATCAAAAATACAGTCAAATCAGTGAACTGCGAAGGGAAAACCGACTCCGAAAAAAGCAAAAGCTGGAAAACTGGATTGCACCATCCTCGTTACTCGCCGTATCTAGCCCCAAGCGACTTCTTTTTATTATTATGAAGAGAAGTGTATAGACTTACAAAGAGACTATGTAGAAAAATTAAAAACAAACAAACAAATCATTGTTAGGTCCGAAACTTTTCAGGCAACCCTCGTATACAGTGTTCCACAAAAATCGATGGTCTATATTAGATGTAAGTATATGAAAAATGGATAAGGATAGGCATTTAGAAACTGAGTTCCGGTCATATGAGGAGACGTTCTCTATTTTTGCAATATTTTGGACATACAGTATTGCCACATCTACTGGAACCAGGCTGCAACTTCCTTTTCTATTTATAGAATTCCCTATATAATATTACAGTTTTGTGTCACGAAAATTACACAGCTTGCCAATGTGATGTTGTATAATATTATGACATAAGATTCCAGTTATCACATACGGGATGTTTACAAAATAAATAAATGTAAATTAAACGCAAATTTTGAGAGGAACCCCCTGTATTTTATTACGTTAATTAAAGGGAAGATTCATTCTGTATCTACAAGTATTATAATATCCCATAGCTATTTTGAACCGTTTCGGAGTTAAAAGATATAGTTTGACAGTTGATAGTTGACAGTTGAATTAAATAGTATTTATCAAGCAGTTTATTTTATTTATTAATTTATGTGCAGAAAAATAGCTATAGACGAACCAAATAATCTACTATAAATTATAGGTATCAATTCAACAATATGGTTCTTAAATACAATAAAATATCAGGTTTTGGATCTTACTTTTAAAAGGTATTATTTGATCTGATGATTGTGCATTTTCACAAAAGAAATGTTCAACAAACGAAAATTACGCTTTTGAGTTACAGAAACCCAATTTTGTTTGTTATATTAATAAATCATCGTTTGAATATGAAATGACCACATCAAAAAAAAAATCTTAATAAATTGTGTGATAAATACTCTCTAATTCAATTGTCAAAACTATATCGCCCTGGTGTACTACTAAGTATTGCATATTTTTCATATTTGCTTAATTTTCATTATTGCTCTTCGCTTTTAACTCCGAAACTGTTCAAAATTGGTATGTCGTAATACTTTTAGATCAAGAATGAATCGGTCGTTATATTGTCTGAATAATCATATTTAACTGACATTAATATATTGTGCAAAATGTGTATAATTTGATATAATATGATACAGCAGCCTATTGACAATCCGTAAACAAAATTGCAGATTTTTATCTAAAACGGTTGTAAAATGGATAATTATCTTCATGACAGATGTTATTCGCCAAATTTATTAAAATTTAATGTATGGGTGTATATATATAATGTATAGAAAGTTTAATAATTATTTATTGAATCTAAAAATTTAATAATATGCAGGGCATTTCATTAAAAAAAAAAATTAAGTAGGTGTTGGTAACCCTACAATGTTTCCAATATTTGAAAATAGCGATCATAGTCTCCCATGGCCACAACCCAATTTTTAAATGCCTATGTTTTTATAATTTAATAATTTTTACAAACAACATTTATACCAATTCATGCAAATATTATTTTTAATAGCTCAAAAACACACATGTAAAAAATTTTCAAAGTTCGCCAATTCCAATTACGACCATCGCGAGAGAGCCCGTTATTTTCAGCAAAAAGTAAACAAAGTCGCTTGGACTGAAACTCTAATTGAAAAAAAAAATGTTTGCGCTTTCCGCGTTTGCCATACTGATAACTCCTTTCTCGCGAATAATCAATAGGAGAGCTATCGATTTTGGCACAGAAACAAACACCATTTACCGGGCTTCCCTGCTGACATGTGTTCTTCCATAGACGTAACCGCCATTGTCCTTGAATGAAGAAGAGGGAGTGTGTTCAGTTGCTTAATTATTCAAGTAGTAACACATTATGCTGAAATAATAATAATAATAATGACCTTATATATAGACTGGAGGTCAATTTTACAATTATATATAATAATTATCATGCAGATAACAAAAATTTTCTTGTACAAAATGAGACAAAGTTACTCCCATATTTGAAAGGAAGGGACAGAGATGAAAAATGGTCCGTTATTGCTACCGTGCAGTTTTTATGCTTGCTGTTTCAATTAGTAGGTACAGCACAACGCGAAAATCTTTGACTAATATGACAACAGCGCTTATAGAGAAACGTATCATTTTGTTTCCAATTCAATGTAACCTTGTTGCATTGCAGATTTAACCTAGGGTACAACAACATTTTTAGTTATCTGCATTATTTTCTGTTGGTTTAAAGGTAATGGAGAATGATAAATGTTCATACAACTTTGTCTCTATTGTAAACATATGATTTATATGGAACTGCAGGTGAATACTTAACAATGCGCATGACAACAATCATCTCGGTCTTAGGCATATTATATGTTTAGTTTAATTCGTAATTTTCAAAATTTCGTGGAAAATATTTAAACTCGCAGAATAAAATTATTAAGTAATGGGTATTTTGATTTTAATTTTTATATCAAAGTTTTTTCGGAACTTTGATGATTTGTTGACTGGAAAAACCGGATTTGTATTTTGTATTTGGCTCTAACCACCCTAACTATGATATCAAAGCTGATCAACGATAAAAACAAATAAATATGCTCCATAACAAAAAAGCAAGAGTAAGTAACTGTACCTTCGATATAAGGTTTATAAACGAATGCGCCAGCACTGTACGTTCCCGCAACTGGGTGGAGTTCACACCACCGCTCTTAATTTATTTTGCCGGGTGAATTATAGTTGATGGTCGCTACATTCATTCTTGCCTTACAAAGTTAATTTAATTTACAATTACGGCCGGGGATCTGTTCGATGATAGGGGAATTTTCACTGCACCGTCGAATGCAGTTTTGTTTTCTTTATTGGCTTTGTCATCGTGTTTCTCCTCTAATAAAGTAGAAATGACATTTTTCAAACATCACCAAGCAGCTTTAAGTTTCAAATATATCGCTCGGTTTGAGGTTCATCATAAAAAAAGTCCCAGTAAGTCCAGAAATGCTTATTTTTCAAGATACACGGAATGTTCAAAATTAAAAAAAAAAACTCTTGTATTGTAATCAAATTTCATCAATATAATTTTTATTTTTTCATTTGAAAATGAAGCAAGATGCAAAAACAACTTAAGAGTAAAAGAATTTGTACTTTTAACGAATTGTTCAAACTAAATAACAAAAATTGCAAAAAGTCAGTGACGTACATCTCTTTGACAATATTATTCCTTAGCATAACTCCTGCGACAGGAATTCACAATTCATAATTTTAATCTAGTTGAAGCAAAGTTAGCCCTTTAAAATTATATATTACGTTGCCAAATTTTATCAATATCTGGCAAAAATATTTAACAAATATTATTTGTTTATATTTTTTGGAAATTAAGCATTTCCGGATCTATTCTTATTATAATAATAATAAATAAACCTCTACTCAACTACTCAATTCGAACCTGCTAAGAAAACTAACTACTTACCTCACAAACAGCGCCGATAGACTTCACACAGCCATCTGCCGCATAGCCTCTCCACTGAACCTCGCTGCCCGCCGACGACCTGAAACAAAACATCGATTAAAGACATGGAAGAAGAATGGAAAAACAAAGCTCTACATGGAAGGTATGCTAAGGCGCTAAATGATGTCGAAGCTCAACAAACAACTGTCCACATTATATCTTACCCAAGGATGTCTTAGGCCAGAAACGGAAGGTTTCATGAGCTCTATACAGGACCAAGTAGTTCCCACGCGAAATAATAGAAAATAAGTACTAAAACAAGCGGTGCCAAACGAGAACTGTAGAATGTGTGGAAATTGTCCTGAAACGATTCAGTATTTAATATCAGCGCCAAAAGATTACTTTAAGCGGCATAATCAGGTTGCAGGGATTATCCATCAGCATATCTGCAAGGACAAAAAGCTGATAAATAGTGAACTCCCGTACTACAAACACTTACCGCAAAATGTCATCGAAAACGAAACGTACAAGGACCAGATATAGTGGTTCTCGATAAGCAAAAGAAAGAGGAGTTTCTGATTGATCTAGCAGACAAGCTTGCTTGCAACTTGCAAAAGTATCAATATTTCCAATAATAATCTCTGCAAACGGAATTGAGGAAAAGAACTTGCCCAAGTGTTTACAACTTTTGGGCATAGAAAACTACAAGAAAATTACCACGCTGGTGCAGAAGGCGACAATATTGGGCACGTGCAACATAGTCCGAAGGGTGGTGGCGCATGGAGGAGTCGTCGACTAGCAAAGTTCCAATTGTTCCATGGTGGAAAAGGACCCAACAAAAGTTGTGAGAAGACAAAAAAATATATATTAATAATAATAACATGACTATTGTAAATACATTACACATCAAAAAAGCTAAAGTTGATACTTCCTCACAATTGAATGAATAATTTCATATGATAGAAGGAACTTACTCAATAACAATTAACAGTTAAGCCCGTACAAAATATAAACTAAAATTAGGAGAGAGAAAAAAAAGAAAAGACAGAAGAGAAGAAGGGAAACTCATATAAAACATGTACCTGTTTTTATTTACATCAATGTATTTATATAAAAAACTATATAACAAAAGAGAAGGATCTCATAAAGCACCAACCCCCGGTCATATAATAAGGTAAATGGATCTTGCATCACGCTCTCAAAGACAAGGACCATATACAGTGTCACAAAAATGAAACTGCGATAAGACCAAAGTTTAAGACTAGCAAATACCTTCTTTAAGCAGTTGCCGGCATGGCTCGAAAACCTTAAATTGACATCCAGCAACAGTCCTAGATTTCTAGAAATAGTTGGGCACTCGAGAACTTCGTTATTCAACTTAATGGGTTGAAAGTTCTTTACTTGACTCTTTTTTGGATTTATTGCCAAACATTGTTTTTTGTCATTAACCAGTCCTTTGCCTCATGGACGTTCTGTGGAAGAAACGAAAACTTTAACGAATATAAGGTAAAATGCAAGATTATGCACTTTTCCTTTGGTTTTTTGGATAAGAATCTATCTCCAGCCGAGCTTTGATACGTGTTGTTTGAAAAACCCTGTATACAAGCAGTTTCTAACTATATAAAACAGGCTGGGTTTTTGTAAACAAGCCATACTGGCAATATAATGTTTCTTATATATTTTTTTTTAATTGCAATTTTTTTTAATTAGAAATAAGCTTTTTTTCCGAGTTGTCCAACTTTTGTGCAAATATATCTGACAAACAACCAAGATACTAACTTTTTGTAATATATGTTATTTGCGTATGAAGTAATGCGTAGTGTTTTTCTAATATATCAGTAAAAACATTGTACTAGGAGTGAGTACTTATGCAACCAATTATACATTTGTGCATTTATCTCGCTTGTGAAAAATTAATTTACAGTTTTGCTAACTTTTGTATAAAAAGGTATATGCATAATTTTTGTCGATGATTTGAATATAACCAAAACCAAAACTAACCATTAAATTTAAGGTTTACTTTCAATGCATGCAGTGTATTTTCTATCTTTTTATTCTCCTTTATAATAATCACCTATCTCCTATTTAGTGGATATACTATGGGACAGCTTGTACACTACTCATCAAATAGGTGATTCGAAAATAATTTGAATTTTTGGTAAGATCGCACTTTTGGTGTTATTGTTGTCGAATTTTTCGTTTATTTCTTCTTAAATGTTTTTATAATTGTCTGCGATATCTGACGAACGAAACAAGGATAAATCGTGGGATAAAATAATTAGTATTCAGCCCTAAGATTAACACACCCTGTAAATTTGAGCGTGCTGCAATAAACGTATATACGCCATAGGATACCATTTCGAAGGCAATACTAGTAAAATCACGTCGAATGAGGATAATTTATAACATATTTATGGGTACTTACACGTTCTAAGTGTGAATGGGTTACTTATTCCACAACAAAAAGGCGCTTCGGTAATTATCGTGAGGTAACATATTCCAGCATAGTCATACTCCATTGGCGTTCTCTTTTTCATTGATCGTTTCATTAAATTTTTCCGATGTAGAATAAACAAATTTATAACCAGTTATTTTTTTACAAGAAACCGCATGTAGGCGTTTCCTTAATGGACACAACACGCAATGCAAAATGATAATATTATTGCCAACATAACATTTTTCAAGCGGAATACGATGCTTCCAAGCTATTGAATTAATTTTTCGTGAAAGTTTGATTGATTGGCGTGCAGTAAACTATATTTATCAATAACCTGTTGGGTCTTCCCCGGAGGATTAAATATTAGAAACATCGATAATTTCAAGAATCAAAATCTCTGTTCTTACTTTTATAATGGTTAAAATTTTCGACCTAATTCCATTCGGTTTTGGTCACCTAAATTTTGTCAAATCATATATAAACCTGCCAAATTTCCGCTAAATACTGTAAAGCAATAACAACACAATAAATTAATTGAGATTTACCTTTATAAAAAAAGCGTAATTTTGAAACCAACTTCCATATTGGGTTTTGTCTGCTTACTGTTAGCACTTCTTTTAGCCTCCCATTTGGCGAAATGTCTTTGGTCAGTAAACTTTTCTAATGGTGATTCTGAAGACAACAATAAAATATCAAATAGAAGTGAAACCTAATAATTGTATAATAATGGACAGTTTCTTGTCTACCCTACCAAATCTTAATACCAAGAGGTAACAGATCGGGATATTGCTTTACGATTTCGAAGGTTCATCGTTGACTTCAGCAAAGTGACTTGACCATTTTCCACATTCTATTATTTCATTTGTCAATTCTATTATTGTTGGATAGAGCTCACAAAAAAATACGGAACTAAATCTCACTTAAATTTAAACTTGATTGCCATAAGAGATTTTCCAGGGAATTTTCAAAAGAAACAAATATTAAACTGGCGTTGCAGTACAATATACCCACAATGTGATCTCTCATTCTGGCATCAATAAACTAATTTTCGACCAATAACACCAAAACAAACTGTATGAGCTTTCATTTTATTTGATTTGTTTATAACATTGATTCATATACCCAAAAGTATTTTAATTAAGCAATTTTGAATGGCGAATCACGTATACTGGGTTAAGAAAATGACCAAAATGGGAAAAATTGGACAGATTGATAGTTGCTGCTAATAGAAAATTAAAACATATTTTTTCTAAATAATTATAAAAGACCCGATTCTTTTTATTGTACCGGAATGAAGGTATATTGCCACATGTCAGAATAACATCAGTTCTACGGAAATGCATCAAAGCAGACGCAGATGACGAGATAATTACTTTTATTAACGCTCAGTTCTGTTACATTATTAACCTGAGTTTGACACACGTTCACGACTGTCACTTTCACCCGCCTCTTTATTAGATATCTCGCTCGATGCTACACAGGGTCCAAAACATTTCTCCGTTGATTGAATTTAATATAAAACCTCTTTTAATAAATTCAACATTTCGTGCACCGCATAGGGGTGCGTGCAAGAAAACTACGCCACTGCACGAGACCCGCAATATGACGATTCAGCGAGGTCCACTGAAAGAACATCCTTTAAAAGGAAATCCCGGTCAAAAGCTATTCACAATCAATTTGCAACAGATAGGCGGAATATTTATGTAGTGATGGAGCGGACTTTCAGTTGGTATGCAAGGAGTGGGTCCAAGCTGGGACCAAGTGCACGGACCGAATAATGTAACCGGTAACAACCTGCGGTCCGACCGGTCTATAGTCATGAGCCGCTCTCATATTAGCCGTTGCCGGTTGTCTTCTAAATAGTCGCACGACATACCCTGTACCCTTTCCATTACAAAGCTGCGTTTATAATTGAAAAATTTTCTGTAATAAGTCACAGAAAATAAAATAACCACCATTCAAATCAAATGCATTACGTCGAAAGGAATATTTTTATATACTAGCGTGTTCTAAATGTACAATTGGTGCAGTTTACTATCATCTATATAAATTTTAATCTATCAGGTTCTGTGGAAAATGCTGTTCCCATTTATGTTCTTTGATATGCTTTGGGATTTTTCACATATCTTATCGCTTAGTAGTATAATTTTGCGATTTGCGACAGTTATCTATCTCTATTTACTTTGTAAAATAAACTGTTGGGATGATCTTGTAAGTAATTCAAACATTTGGGACAAAATGTAATTTGCATAAAAAATTTAAATATAATATACGAAAAATCCGCAAACACGGCAACGTCGCGTTTGACATTCAGTGGGTGGTGCTGACCAGTAGGCAGTTGCTGATTATAGCAGCAAAAAATGCAACGATACTTATCCTCCTATTTATAGTGAATATCCCGCATTATGGTTGTTTTATTTTTGAGTTTTTGTTCCATATAAGCCGAAGAGGATTTGACTCGGTGAACTGGCTGCAGTTGGTCATTAAAGTAATTGCACCGTAAGAGATTGAGGAGAAATTTACAGTAATAATCAGTTTGTGTCATTTAGGACTCCATTTTCCAAACCACGCGACAATTGTCAGTTGTATAATTGAAAGATTAATGAAGGCAACCAATAAAAAAGTCCCCAAATATAAGAAAGCGTCCGTATAAATAAAATTGATTCCATTTAATTTATTTCAACAATATTAACCACCAAGATTATAATTTTCTTATGAAAAATATCGCACTGCATCACTTCTGTTTTATCGTTTATTCGCCATTTGTTTATTATTTGGTTTCTAAGAAGTAATTTAATTTTAAATTTTTTATTTCGTCAACTTTCAAAATAAAATTTTCAATTTCTCTTCTCTATTTAATATTTAATAAATTTTAAATTCCAAAAAGCCTTTGGTTTTGCAAAACTAAGCACCATTGTAAACATGTTTAAAACTTACCTTTTTTCTAAAAATAAGCAACTTAATTTAAAATACATACAGGGTATCACTGAACATGAGAACAACCAGGTGGTTGTTTCTTAAGCGATTGTTTCCTTTTTTGGGGTAAGTGTCGTTGAGGGTGGTGGTGCTTACATTTTAACGTTGTTTGAATGTGTGTATGTGTCAAGTGATACAAATACACTGCGATATTCTAAATTCGCGAATACGCCAACAAAAAAATGTAAATATTACATAAATTGTTTCTTAAATATCTGATAAGAAATCTAGTAGGGAGTAGTATCATTTTTGAATAATCGATTCCTTCACTTTTGCTTTAAATTGAGGAACAGTGAGCTTTAGATTTAACGTGAACCAGGTTTAATATCATCATATCATAATTATGAATATAGCTGGCGATGGTAATATCAATATGCCCAAAGATATAATAGTATATTATGCAAAAAATGCAGTAAACGGCATTTGACTCACGAGTTTTTTTGACACAAGCAGAGCGAGTGTTTAATAAACGAGCGTGTCAAAAAGTTTACCAAACGTGTTGCATACTATACTTTTTCTACGACCGTTAGTTTTTGAGTACATTTTCGCAGAACAACATGAATACATTCACTAAAATGACCGTCCGAATTGACAAACGTCAAAATTCAAAGCGTGGGAGATATCTCCGAAAACCTCCGATTACTCCCAAACTCGTGCGGTAAAATCTCGGAAATGTCCGAAGTGGCTCGGATTAGTGGGAAACGAATCTGACGAGGTAAAGTGACGCTTCCCACACGCTAGATCGATGTGTAATTAGACTGGAGCATAAAAAGCATGAAGTTTTTTGACGATATTTTGCTCATGGAGCGCATTACTATTATTTAAATAAAGTGTTTACTTTGTATGATAAGATTATTATAGAAGCTTTAGAACTTCGTTTGAGACCGTTTCCCTTACCTCCCTTTTTTATTACAAAACACTTTGAACTTATTTTAGAACATTGGAAACTAAAAATATGATTTTTCCGAGTTAGTTTTTGATCCAGTTTTATTCCTATTTTTAAATTTGCGATAGACTTCTCCTCGGCCCTAACTAAGAGATTTTCTTATATAGGCTTGTTTTTTACTCAGTCGTTTGCGGCTTGTGTTACTTCAGATTGAGACTTTTTGTCACAATTCCATTTGAATCTCTAGCGTAATTTGTTGGTAACTCTATTGTTTCCAGTAAGTCGTTTCCATAGTTATTAAGGTTGGAGAAATGCAGGTGCTTCTAACACCCTCGAACCCCAACCCCGTATTCTGTTTTTCAGCGATTTGATTGTGATTGCGATTTGATTTTTTTTTTTTGATTTTTGATATTGTTGTTTATTATTTTCCACGACTTATTTGCGTTGTGTGTTTTCTTTTGGTTTTATTTTTTTAAATTCTTTATATTTTTCTGTCGATTGCGAATTATTAATTTTCTTGCTTTCTCAAACCATCTCGATGATTAAAAAACTAATTACGTTACGTAGCTCCCTACTCATCTCCCATCCTTTTTGACTGGGCATTACTAAGAACTTTTCCTGTTTCCCTTTTTTACGCCAAATTTTTATAATATAAAAATCTAATTACAATTTTTACCCAAATATTATTAACTTAATAATTATCATAATAAATGATTAACTGTAAAAGTCGTGAACACTGTTAAAAAAAATGCTTATTATAAATGGCTACTATTTTTCTTTTATGTACAAACCTTTTTATAATTACTTTACAATTTCTCCTACTATATCACCTCGTTAAAATTCACTTATTGTTTCAATATCTCAAAGGCATTAAACCTGAATAACTCTAAGCAAATTCTTAAAAAATTATAGTAATAAACGATGTTGATTTTTTGTGAAATTAAAGAAAAGTCTAGTAAGCAGACTCTAGGACCAAAGTGTTATAGTTTACTACATTTCATGCGGGGAATCAACCGACAAAACATTATAAATAAAGCTATAACAAATTTACTGGGTGCTGCATTTTTTATGTATATATTTTGAACATGTAAATTATTGAATTATATTACGCTGTTCGCGAATGCACAAGGCAGAGAGAGCACAATTCGTCGGTGTCGATGAATTGAGAATCGCACCGGAAAAGGAATATTAAAAAAACTACACCATTTAAATACCAAATATGCCCAAGTT